AAATCCGAGGAATGCATAATATTGGGCTTCAAAATTTTCTGTGAAAACCCCAATAATTTTCCGATACTGTCCGAGTGTTGTTTAAAGTTTACCCCGTATACGGGGCTGTAGATCTCACACTTTATCGTATTATTGTTGGGTTTGATTGATCTCTCCTCTATTAACTTTGGGATCGTATTCTTCTCTTCCTTATTTTTCGGCAGATGTTCGTTAATGTAGGTTTCTATGTCGCTAATTTCATAGGACCCGGTCGGAATTTCAATTAGGTTTTCTTTATTGTTACTATCGAAGTAGTAAAATTTATTCGAACCCTTATCTATGTTGGGAATGTTGTTGTAAGAGTGGAATCCAATCAGCGCTAAACCGTACTCTACATCTTCATCCAACTGCAGCGGATTGACAAAGTCGATGGATAATATCGACGTGTGCCCTTTTAACGTAAATATGATCGACATGTTGACTGCTTATAGGTCCGCGATTTCAGTCCTTTTTATAGAGAAATTGCAAACACAAATGACCGCAATTGTATTGCGTAAAATTTTGATATCTATCGTGATTATAGTAGATATTGGCGCTGTTGCCGAAATATTTAACAAGTTCCGCGGGTGGTTTTAGGTTACCGAAACTGTCAAAATACTCAACATCGTTTCCCTTCTTCTTTTTGTATGCTACCCAGTGGGTTCCTCTATTTCGACGAACATCCAAATTTACGATTCCGCGTTGTTGCGGTCTGATTCGACGGGGTAAACTATCTAGCATAAAAACACCCCTGAAGTGAGGAATTTTTAACTTGCGCGCCAGAGATATTAAATCGACGTCGTATAGAGCCCTTCTCGGTAGCTTTATTGGGAGTTTTTTTGTTTCTTCAGATAAAGACCGAATCCGCCGCGTGGACTCTTTTTCAAGAATAGACACGATCCTTTTTTTCCAATCTCTTCCATAGATCGGTTATGGCGGTTGGCCTCTTCGAGTTTCTTTCGTGCGTTTTTCGCATCGATGACAGTTTTAGCGATAGCAGCGGCTCCGCCCAAGAGCGAACCTAAAGCCCCTAGCGCTCCTAATAACGGTAAAAGTGGTAAAATACCACCAGATTTTGATTCGAAATGTATAATTCTAGGTACCCTAATTTTTTTACGTCCTCCCGCTTTTCTTACAGCGGCTCTGCCAGCTCGAAGCGCTTCCAGTGCCGATCTTCTAAGCATTTTAGGGTTATCGATATGAAACAATTGTTTCTTCTTTAATGCATTGTGAACCTTTTTCACGACACCCTGTCGAAACGAACCAGAGGGACGTCGTTGTTGTCCCATACCGAGCTTACGTTTAGTTTTCATAGTCGCGGTGACAAAGAACGCGGCAGCTTTTTCACCAAACTTTGCATCTTTAGATTTTACTCGCTGCCACGCACGTGTTTCCAATTCTTTATCCGCTTTATGATGTTCGTCTAACGATTTGTTTTGCGGATAGGCAATGTCGTGTACCTTACACGCAGCGGTTGCGGCAAAACCAACACCATGTTAGCGCTACTCTTTAACCCCAACGGGGCAAGTTTCGAAAATGTTTACGTCTACTCAAAGTCGTTATATCAACCGAAATATCAACTGTTATCTCGCGTATTGAACGATGTCAAAGGAGTTGGATATTATCCCTACAGTGAAAGAGATTCGATAATTGACCCCAGCGACGCGAAAGAGAATTCTGTGTTTATTTTCGACGACGTGTCGTGCGAAAAGAAAGATAAAATTCGCGAGTATTTTTCGATGTGCCGACACAAGGCCATCGACGCTATTTATCTCTGTCAGACATACTCCAAGGTACCCAAGCAATTGATACGTGACAATTGCAATATTGTCGCGTTGTTTAAACAGGATGACATGAATTTACGTCACGTTTATGATGAACATGTCTCACCCGACGTTTCATACGACAGGTTTAAACAAATTTGTTCCGAGTGCTGGAAAGAAAAGTACGGCTGTTTGATAATTGTAGATATTTAATTGTCGATAGAAACAGTCATGAAGGCGACGTCCGCCGACATCGCCGACGCGGCGCTAAAAAAAATTGAACGAGTTGTCTAGATCTATTCGAAAGAAGTATTTAACATTAAAATTGGGTAAGAGCGAAGAGGATGCGTCAATTCGGAAGCTTTTCAAACCCGTCAGCGAGCCGCTAGAACGTATAGCAAAAATAAAGCTATCACCGTCACCGGCAGAAATAAAAACTGAACGTCGAGGTGTCAAGCGGGAACACAAAAAGGAACCGAACGAAGAAACAAAAAATAAGGTTAACGTATCATTTTTGCCTATGGAAGAAATTCAGGAAACCCCGGATCCCAATAAGAGCGTTGAGATGCAAAATGTCGATGATTAGGAAGATGATGTGTTTGACACATCGAGCGTGGCTAACGCATCCCTTCAATCATACCTGGAACAATATCCAGAAATTTCCCATTCCTATATTCAAAATTTATGGGTAAAATCGCCCGACACCGATATTGTTTACGGACCCGTTTACGACAAAATATCATCCAAATGGTTTCTCGGCAATAAATCGATGGATTTTCATCAAGGATCTGGCGATATTATTGTAGACGGCGAGAGATATTCCGGTACCCGCGGATTGTATAATTTGGTGTTTTTGAAAGATCCCATAGCATACACAAAAGACGATTTGGCACAATATAAAAAAATAATAGAGGCTACCCAGGTGCACAGGGACGCGACCGGACGCCTGAAAGGCGCATCGAAGGTACCAAAATATACCAAGGTTATCCGACCCTTAATAAAATCTCAGTCGCGTTCGTACTCGTACAGCGGTCAAGGTTATAATATGAGTTATAATGACGCTCCTACTGAATATGTATACTGGGACGGCGTCAATGAACTCGTAGAGCGTCTGGAATTACTAATCGCGTCGAAACACGCAGGCAACAAGTCTCATGACAACGAAATAGTTTCAATCGTTGAAGAGCTAAAAAAATCAGGTTTTATACGTTAGTTTAACGATGAGTCTGGACAAGTTTGGACGTTCTAGCGCGCTGCGCTCTAAACGACCCTTCACTAATACTGTGATTATGAGCGCCCTCGATTATATGCCAGACGGAAACGTCAATATGAACAATTTAAAAATTTGCAATGTCCAAACGCCTAGCGACGACGGTGACGTGGCTAGCTTACACGAAAAGATTACAAATTCAAGACAAAACTAAATTCTCGCGTCTTGAAGAACAACTGAAAATGAGTAGTACTACACTCGAAAATGAATTTAGGCAGTTTCGCGAAGTTTTCCACCAAAAGCTAAGCGAAATGAGCGCAAAGAAAGATTTGGAAAAGCGCATGCCAAAAGTCGCCGTTTTGTCACAGCAATTTCATGATATTGTTACCAAAATGGAGCGATTTACGAACGAAAATGAGAATATAATGAAAGTATTGAAACAAAGGGTTTTAAATCCTCCACCGCAACCGAACACACATTATGAATAAAGAGAAGGTACAACTGGTTCGAGAACTGCACAAGCCAGCACGCAGAAATTATGCTTGCCTCAGGACTATAATACGAGGGATGGACGCCCTGTGGCAAGCGGATCTGGCCCAATTAGATCGCTACAGCAAACAAAACAGAAATTTTAAATCCGTGCTTGTTGTGATAGACTGTTTCTCAAAATGGTGTCGCCCGTTGAAAACCAAAACCGGGGTCGAAGTCGCCAAGGCGTTTTCCAAAATTCTCAAGGACGCACGGCACCCTCAAAACTTGCAAACGGATCTCGGTAAAGAATTTTACGACACGTTTCTGAAACTTGTGGATAAGCATAAAATTAACCACTATAGTACGTATAGCATAAAAAAGGCCTCAATTGTCGAACGGGTGATACGTACCCTCAAAGAGAAATTGTTTCGACATTTTTCTTTACGTGGGACGTACAAATGGATCGATGTGCTCGCCTCTATCGTTGAGGAATACAATAACACAAAACAGAGAACGACGGGTACAAAACCCATCGATGTGAGTAAGAGCAACGAAAAGAGAATTTTGAAAACCGCGTACAGTAGTATAAAAATATTCGGTCCTCGTAAACTTAAAGTCAGCGACATCGTTAAAATCAGCAAAGTCAAGCACGTGTTTAACTAAGGTTATACACCGAATTGGACCACGGAATTGTTTAAGGTACGGGTTACTAACCCCGTAACGTATTTGCTTCAAGATATGCAGGGCGGATAATGGGCGGATTTTATGAAGAAGAATTGCAGAAGACAGTTAACCCGGACTTATATCTCGTCGAAAAGGTGTTGCGCAGACGAGGCAATATGGTTCTCGTGCGCTGGTTGGGATTAGATAAGTCGGACGATTCATGGGTAGACAACGTAGACGTCTTGAAATAAATTTAGTCTTGATTTAGAAGTTCTGACATAAATACGTGTATGTGATGGCTCAAGAGCAAATTGTGACATCCAACGAATTGTATAATTTATTGGAAAATTTCGAGTTGCAATTTCCTCCATCAGAAGTGCTCCCGTCCAGCTTCGTTCCTGTAGAGCAACAAACCAAAAAATCTGCGACAAAACGAAAACAAAGTGCGTCGGTCGTATCCCGCAAGAAGGAGAAGAAAACTACCACAAGTGAAGCGTTTGCAGCTCCAACGTCATCCGCTGATTGGCTCGAAGTGTTCACGGACGGTAGAGAAAAAAGTATCATTTGTGAGGCCTTCAATTTAAAAAGAATCTTGGCGTCTCAGTTGGCGGGATTAGAGTGCAATATCAACGAAATTGAAACACAAATTGCGCTTTTTAATACAGACTTGCAAGTGGCGCGGCTGCAAGCGCAAGAGTGCAAAAGAAAACTAGAACAATTTAATAATTTAGCATTTAACGAAATTGTAAGGTAGTAATAATGTATATAATAAATAAATTATACAATTACAAACTTCTGTGCAATTATTATGCGGTGTCGTGGTGGTGGTAAAAAAGAAAATAGCGTCTAAATATATACATGTTTATTCTTGTTGCAATACAATGGAATACAATTAATACATAAAAACCTTATCTACAGTTATATATTTTATAATAAAACCACAGTATTAATAGTTCAATCTGCTATCAGAAAAGCGTAACTTTTTTTCCATATTTCCCCTCACCGTGAAGCATTAAATTACATTCATCTTCAGTTTCTACAGTGAACAAAACTTCTTCAAAGCAGCTTTGACACCAAAATTGTTTATCGTGATATACATCATTCAAATTATTTGTATCCAGCTGTAAATGATAGTGATCCAATAGAAGTCTAAAAATTTTCTTTTTAAATTTTTTAACTAGTTGAAATATAAAGTGGCAAGATTTACAAACTAAAATTTCCGAATATTTTATCCTGTAATAACTGACCCATAAACAGTAAGCGGATTCTCCGTCAAAATCAATCGTTGGAGTTGCCAAAATGCTATTTCTGTAAGACGACCCAAATCTCTTATTCAACAGAATGAATTCTAAATTTAATAAAGAATTGCCATCAGACTGGAGCGCTAGTTGTTTAAGGTACCTCCATCTATATTTCGAATAATATTTAAATATTAGTATCGTTAGTTTCCAAGGCAAAGGTGACTCAAGCAAAAAATCAGCACTACACCTAATATTTTCGCAAATTGTTATAATACAAAGGCTTTCTAATGTTGTTGTTCGGCAAAAGATAACGTTTATCGTCCAAAGGACTCAAGGCAACTTTTGTTTGTTCGATGCTAAATACATTGCGAGTGTATGAACGAATGGTTCGTTGGGTGGCGTGCTTTTCCCTTAAATTTTTTAGGCATTCCACGTAGTCATCAAATGAAATTTTATTTTTTACAATATTGTACTGAATACCCTTTGACTTTTTAACTACCAAACCCGTTAAAACTTTGAAAGTGTACATTTTCGAGCTTAACCCCGCAAAATGACTAGTGATGGTGCCATTAGTCTCATCCTTCATCAACCCCAGAACCTTTTTGTTGATTTGCGGTATATTATAAGGATTGTCATTAGGATAATCAGACGTGTGAAATTTTTGAAAATCTGCCTTAATAACGCTTTCATATGCATCATAACATTTGATCTTATAAATGAAACTGTCCGTATCCATGTATTGAATTTTACATTTTTCGGGACCCAAATTTGGAAGCATGTAATTATAATAAAACTCGTACATGGTCGTTTTCGACAAATCCAATATGGACATTCCAATATAAAGTGGTTTATTAAAGCAAAGCTCCGATTTCTTTAATTCTATAAGCAACAAATTGTTATCAAGTATGGTTTTACTGTGAAATCTAGGATTAGAAATTAAATTTTTCGCACCGTAGCGGCCATCCCACGCTTTAACAAATTTAACAATACGATGCTTGCGAATGTTTTCCATTGTTTTACCGTAAGCGGCATTATTAAACAATTTGTATAAATTTATACCAAATTTTGTCTTTGCTTGGGCTCTTAATTTATTATTATGATCGATATAACATTTCAACCAACGAGATTGGTTAAATTTTAATATTTTGTGAATTTTCTTTAGTACGATACCGTTTTTGAGAGCCTGTTTTAAATTGCGATAGGGTATGACGTATTTTTCTTTATTATACAAAGTAGTCATTAGTTTTGGTAACTTTGATTGGGGGGCACTCGATGTTCGGCACAAAATGGAAAATCTCTATGTGTGTCATGTAATTTCTGCGGGTATTCCAGGTCTACCTCTAGGATATATCCTTGGGAAGATTCATCTGGAATTTTCATGACATTAAATGAATCAATCTCTTGATGAGACATCCAGTCGAATCCTCCGTAAGGAAGAGGCTCGCATATGGCTTTGCCATAGAGGTTATTGACGTCAAAGTATATGATATAGGAATCATCCCTGGATGAATCGTAGTTGGGCATATATTTATTGTTGGCCTCCGCGTATCTACCAACACACACCAAAATTCCACCTCGTATAGCCCGCTCGATAAACATAATTTGGTCAATGTCGCGCAAAAGTTCTAAACGACATTTTGTGAATCTAAGCATGCAATCCCATGTATACCCGGGCATACTGAAATACCATGTCGGATGCAAAACATGTGTTGCCATACAAGTTTTTCGAAAATGTTCGAATATATCTGCCAGAAGAATAACGTCGGTTTTTAAAAACAAATCTGAATACTCGCCTAAATTTTTTATTTCAAACGACTGACAAACACTTTGTGCGTGGAAATATTTTTCTTCACTAATATTGCTTTCACTTAATTTATTATGGAAGTCTTCAATCGGTGGTAAAGTTGTTTCATTTAATTTGTCTATATTGTCGATGTAATCGTAACAAAAAGTACCTTTTTGGGACAGTAAATTTAATTTTGATTCGTCGAGATCGGAAAATTCTTTTCTTTAAATATATAGTTCATTTTTATCCATACTGTAAACTAAATTATCTAGAGATGCTCCCAAAAATCTAAACGAATCTATAAATCTAAATTTTATGTTATAATCAGGTTCGAAATATGTAAAAGAGATGTATTTTTCCTTATTAACCGGAACTATGGATACACAGCTTTTTTTTGCTAAAACCGGAAGCAGGAAGTGGCTATCGTATCCAGAAAGGTTCTGGAATACTACGGGCACTACAAATATTTTTTTAAAATTTAAATTACAAGCCTGATGGGCAAAACCTCTAAATTTGCCAGTAAAATGATCATGGTCACGAACAATACAATCTTCTTTTGAAAAAGGTCTTTCACAAATATGACAATGGCTCGACCTTTGATCTAAACTAATTTCACTATCCATCGGTATAATATCCTTAAATTTTGGACGAACAAATTTTGATAAATTAGATATTTCCTCCACGAACCAATCAATACAATCTAGACCACGATAACTTTTGAAAAATGATATTGAATCATCATAACAACATTTAAAGTAATATGCAGCACTGTAAGCTTCGTGCTTTTGGTATTTCGAGGTTTTATCTGTAATTTTCAAATTTACTTTTCTCAATTGACTCTCAAAATCGGCGTAAATTACAAACGGAGTCGTTTGTTTATATATTTGGTTTCGAAATTCAACATGATCATATTTAGGAAAAGACACTTTATACTTATTAAAACTGGAACACATTGTTTCGTGGTCATGTAGACGAGTTTCGTTATTGAAATAAACACCTATCGCAAATGTATTTCTTGTGATTATATTTACTGAGCTGTGAGGAAACTAATCGAGACAAATGTTTAATGTAACAATAGTGATATTTTATTTCTTCATGATCATTATCTTGCGGATCAGGATCAAAATCATTAACTTTTGGATAATATTTATTTTGTATTAACAACAAATTTGAATGTTTTTCGCGTTTTTCTTTTGTTAATCGTGGAGGTAGCACGGAATAAAAACAATTTTTTTCATTTTTATTAAACTCTAAGATATAAACATTGATGGAAATATCATTGCCTTTTTGAAATTTGCCTATTTTATTCATTTCCATAGGTGTTTGTAAATTTTCAGTTTTCAAAACACTTTTGTAGTATGGATATGAGGAGGGTAAATACTGACGAAAACGTGCTGGAAAGAGTCCGCATACAACCGACCAATAAAAACACGCTTGATCGTCATTTCTAATATTAATACAAGCCCTTTTATTCGCAATTTCTTTAGGCAACTCAACGAAGGATGATCCGTTACCCATTACAAATTTATTAATGTTAATCTCTAAATAAATAATATTATTTAAAGCCCACCCGGAATCACGTTCCTGAAACTCTGACATTTGATTTAAAATTTTTTCTTGCTTATTTTCAACAAACCAATCATTCAATTCTATTCCTAAATCAACTACAGCATTTCCGGTACTCAGATATTTAACATCAACTTCGCCTTGGACATCATTTTTTGCCTTAATAAATTCACCGCAAAATGTGGTACTTTCAGCAATAAAAATTTCTTTAAAATTTGACTAATTTTTTGTTGAAAAATTGGACGACAAGCGTTTAAAAATTGAATTAAAAATTTATGAAGTAAATTAATTATGACACCGGTCTGAACTCTTCCCTGGAAACACGACGCTACCGATTCCCATACAACCAATTCATTTGTGTTTGTCCCGCGGCTGCTATTTTATAATCCCAATCCAAAATGCTTATGTTGATAATTAAGAATAATTTTTCGTTAGGAACGATTTGGTTGCAAGATTCAATATTTTTATTTAGTCTCCTAAGCCACACATCACTATCTCTAAAAGTGAACTTGTAGGAAATATGCTTTTTTAATTTTTGTAAGGTTAAAATTAAGATTTGCGCTCTATGAATGATCTGCTTTACGCGCATCGTGGTTTATTAAATATATAACAGTAAATAAGACTTACCCTGTATAATATGTTGATTCAATTTGAATTATTTTGATTTTTTTTAAAGAGTTGGGCTTTCCAATATCTTTGGATCTCTCGTAGACCAGTTTGTACTGCCCCGACGCAAAGTATTCTAGTCTCGGACGGAAAGCTTCTGTCACGCGAGTACGAAGAAATACTACGGAATTTTCTAATTGCAACAACACGGAATTGCCAAATTTTGTATTAACAATTTTGGCTCTAGTAATTTTAAACGGAACGCCTATCGGCAATTCATGCAGTTTGACAATCGGCTGCTCAAAATCACCTTCTGCAAGACAGGTTTGATTCAGTTGACTTAAGTCCATCTATAAATTTTTATTAATTATTATTTTATCTCAAAATTAAAAAAATAAAAAAACTCACGCTTAAGATTGCTGCTATTCTAGTTGCGGTTACGGGTTGAGAGTACTAAGATGATCTTTAAGACCTTTATAAAATAATAACAAATGTTAAGGAATTCAAATAAAACAATAAAAAAGGTATTTACTGCTTTTTGGTACGAACACCAAACCACTAAGTTAGCTTCCACGTTGCACGAATAATACCAAAAACAACTACTGACAAAACAGAGAAAAATGAGATGTACGGTGCGAGAATACTTTCCAAAAGTTAACAAACAAAGACACCTCCACATGCGTTGCAACAAATTTTTCTCATTACGTTAATCCCACGGAGCAAATATAAACGGGCAATTAATTATTATTTTCAACAAGCAAAACAACTTGACATTTAGACTCGGCGCGTTTTGAAATTCTACATCCCATACGGAGACTGTAAAAAATGAAAGCAAGTTGGCCTTGATCTTTTGCAGCAACATACGGTCGTCCAACGTCCGAAGCGGTTGCGTCTCAAGTCGTTCCCGTCTGAAAGCATGTTGACCCTGAGACTCCTACCTGTACGGTTGTCTGGCGGCAACATCGCGTCTATTCAAATCGGCGTTGGTGCTTGTGGGTAGAAGACCTTTCGACTTTGAAGTTACTTTTCTATTTTTAATTCAACCGTGGAAGGGAGTACATGTGTATAAATACGTTGCATGTGTATTATAGACTATATTCAGTGCAATGAATACAGAAGTGCGATGTCCATTTCCCTACGACCCTAGAACTGGTAAGTTTTATATTTTAATTACCTTTATACAGTTCGTGTCTTTTTTTGTGGGTTTCAGTTTGGGTTATCAGTTTTTTGGTTAGTTTCTACCTGTTTTTAAAATATGATACTCATCTTTTTTACGTTGCATAATAACCGAATTAAATTGAGTGTTTTAATATCTTTTAAATGACAGTGAATAGAAAAGGGAATTTTGGCTTTTAAAAAATAAACAATTTTTAAAATTATTTGATGACCCCACTTACTGAAAGTTTTGTTTCAAAAATGTGCGTTTTATGGGAAACGTGAAATATATATATACATATTTTTGTTTATTTTTTGTACTAAAAAATTGCAGTTTGCCCTTTTGATAATAATACACTTTTTTACGTTGCATAATAATCGAATTAAATTGAGTGTTTTTAATATCATTTAAATGACATTGAATTTAAACGTGAATTTTGGTATGCGTGTATAACTTTAAAAACAATTTTTAAAATTATTTGATAACCCCACTTTTTGGAAATTTTGTTGAAAAAATGTGTTTTATAGGAAACGCTACATATCATACTTTATTTTGTTCTAGAAAAAATTGCGGTTTGTCCCTATGACAAGTCGCATATTATGTTGGCGCATCGCTTAGGGCGTCACATATTCGAATCACACAAAGAGTACCGGGGGTTAGAATTCCTGGTACAATGGGATGGTCGACTGAATCGACACAAAAAGAAGAAGAAACTCCTCGCCAGACCAATTTTATAAATAAAATAAAATATATTAAAATTGAAGTTTATTTAATTATCCTCCCGATCCCCCGCGTCACCGTACCGCAATGTCTTTGCCCTCTACCGGGTGGGCCTACGACGGTCGGAGCGCGCGACATCTAGCAGCGACGGGCGGAACCGGGGCAAAACAGGACGCTACGCAAGGAGGGGGGGTGGGTGGTTGACAGAGGGGGACGGCGAGGAGTGCACTTCGTATTTAGATTTCCTCCGGGAACGGGAAGAAGAACAACTCAAGCAACAGGAACAATGGGATGGTCGACTGAATCGACACAAAAAGAAGAAGAAACTCCTCGCCAGACCAATTTTATAAATAAAATAAAATATATTAAGATTGAAGTTTATTTAATTATCCTCCCGATCCCCCGCGTCCCCGTACCGCAATGTCTTTGCCCTCTACCGGGGGGGCCTACGACGGTCGGAGCGCGCGACATCTAGCTGCGACGGGCGGAACCGGGGCAAAACAGGACGCTACACAAGGAGGGGGGGTGGGTGGTTGACAGAGGGGGACGGCGAGGAGTGCACTTCGTATTTAGATTTCCTCCGGGAACGGGAAGAAGAACAACTCATGCAACAGGAACAATGGGATGGTCGACTGAATCGACACAAAAAGAAGAAGAAACTCCTCGCCAGACCAATTTTATAAATAAAATAAAATATATTAAAATTGAAGTTTATTTAATTATCCTCCCGATCCCCCGCGTCCCCGTACCGCAATGTCTTTGCCCTCTACCCGGGGGGCCTACGACGGTCGGAGCGCGCGACATCTAGCAGCGACGGGCGGAACCGGGGCAAAACAGGACGCTACACAAGGTGGGTGGGGGGCGGAGCGCACTCTGGTAGCCAGGGGGGACACTAGGACGGGCCGGACCGCCACGCGCGGGGGGCCCCCGCTGCGAGGGGGTTAGGAAATTGAGGTTATGTGCGGTTTTTGCTTCTTATATCGGTACTATATATCTACTCTGGAGTGGCTGGTATTTCACATCGTGGTGTTCCATATTTTCAATTTTAATGGATTACAGGGAGAATGGGTTTCCTTTAAAAAGTTCTTTTTTATTCCAAAGTTAAGTATTTTGGGTACTGGAACATTGATTAGGCAGGCTTCTTCAATAAAAGCTATTTCTTTACTTCGACAAGTCATTTGTAATTTAAGTTGCTGTTCCGATGGTATTATTAGAACAAATCTACTGGTGATTGGTCGTATTATATGCGTTGAAACATTTACATTGACTACGTGACAATTTTTGTTGATTTTCGCAAACGTAGGTGTCTTCAATGATTAGGCAGATTGATTCTTGATATTGTTGCATGTCAGTGCCCTATATGAGGTAGGTAAAATTAAACAGTGATTTAGGGGTACTGGGAATAGGTGGAATATTTCAAAAATTTCTTTAAGAAAAATCGGAATATGGACGGCAATAATTATTTTATCTTTTGCAAATTTTACTTGTAAGTTTGCTAACTGATAATAATTATTTTTATTTTAAAAAATAGAATTTGATAATCACCATAGAGAATAGTCAATTTAAAAAGTATTTGTTCTAATTCAGCTGCCGATATTACTACAGGATGTAAGGTGTTTAATTTCGCAAATGTAATGGCATTTTCTAAATTATCCAAAAATGTAATAAAACTTTGGCAATTTAGAATTATTTGCATTAGTGTATTTTGAATTTTAATGAAAGTAGTAATGTCAGTAATAGTTTTATTTGAATTATATTCAAAAATGTCTTATGTCTTATGTGTCATTATAGTTGTCGATCAGCTGTTTAATCAACGAGGTTTGCTTTTTTAGCTGGATATCAGATGAATGTTTACTACGTACAAGTTCTGTGATAATTCTATCATATTTTTGTCTATCCTCTGAATCGAGAGTACCAAAGAGCCATTTCGATAATTTACCTACAGCATTTATTAAACCTCTTTTTGTACGGTTATTAGGTTTTATATTACCAAGTTTGAATTTTATTTGTGCAATTAAATATCGAACATTATTAAGTAAATTATTTCCATTAATATGGTATACATTCTGAAAATTATGTTTATTTGTATAGTATAATGATTTTGAGATTACAGCGCAAGCGTATTCTAAATTACGTAACTGATTAAAAAGTGGAAGATGTTTCTATGTTATTTGTTGAGGTAGAACGTGATGACTTATAAAGGTCGCTAAACCGTCTAAGATAGCAATTGCTGTACAAGCGAGTTCTAGCGGATAACCTTGGGCGTACCGTAAAAATACGTCTATAATTGTAAGAAATTTTACGTTTTATATTTGAAAAGTATCCACATGGATGGATTCTAATGGTTTAGAAAGGGTCGGTGTCAACGCAAACTTTAATTTTGGTGGATGTTTATCATATTTTGTTTGTTGGCACGTGTCACAATTATTAATATATTCAGTTATGTCAGTTTTCATATTTGGCCAATAATAGATCCTTTTTTAATACTACTAGGCTTTCATTAATGCCTCGATGGCAGGTTTTTTTAGGTCCTTTTGTTTTATCCTCTCAGTTATGTCAGTTAAAAGAGTTTTTGATATTACAATTTATAAGCATGGTTTTTTAATGTATTTGGTAACAAAACAGATAGTTCTCGATTTAAAACTGTTTCAGTGTTTTGTATATATAGGCAGTACATTTTTGTTGGATCCAAATAATCTAAAAAGAATTTAATTATTTCATTTTGATAGTTTTGACTTAAATAAACAGAAAATCTAGATTTCTTTTGGAATGGGTAACTCCTAATCACGTGATAACTACCGTTTATTTTTTGGTTAAATATTATTTGATTAGAATAAGTATTTAAAATATTTTCGGTAATTGATATATTCGAAATAGGATCTTCAGCTGTTGTCTCACCAATATTAGGAATATTTGGCGGTCTAATTTTTGGAGTGTTTACATTCTCTCGAGGGTTAAACGCGTCTTCAATTTGTTCGAATTGTTCAAGGCTTATATTTTGATCTTCTTCATGTATGTATTTATTGATGTCTGAATTAATATCTCCAGGATTTCCGAAAAATGACTCCTTATCTTCATATTTAATTCGATGCGTGACAGGGCATCAGCGTTGGTGTTCCTTCTTATAATGAACTGTGTAATCAAACTCTTCCAATTTTAGTGGCCAATTTGGTTCTTTCATATTAAACAAGTATCGTAGAGGTGTGTGATCGGTAATTATTACAAATTTTCGGCCAAATAAATAGGATCGGAAATATTTTGTTGACCACACGATTGCTAATAATTCTTTCTCTATGGTTGAGTAATTGCTTTCAGCCGGGTCCAGTGTCCTAGAGGCAAAGGCTATGGGCAGATCACTACCAATTTTTCCTTGGCTAAGAGCCACTCCTATAGAAACATTCGAGGCGTCCGTTGTCAATATAAAAAGTTTTTCGAAATCTGGATATTGAAGTATGCGATCATTGCACAAGATATTTTTACATAGATCGAAGCTTCTAGACATTCTAGCGTGTGTTCGATGTTCGCTCCTTTCTTTAGGCAATTTGTGAATGGCTTGGTAAGTTTTGCAAATCCACTAATAAATCTTCTATAGTATTCTAGAAGACCTAGAAAGGATTTTATGTTTTTTGCTGATTTCGGTACAGGAAATTTCTGGATTGCAATAATTTTCTTGGGATTCGGTTTAATTCCGTTTTTTGTTATTATGTGACCCAAAAATTCCACTTCGGTTCGTAGGAATTCCGTTTTATCTAGTCGAATTTCTAGACTAGCTTGTCACAGTCTTTGGAAAACAAGTTTAAGATGTTTGAAGTGTTCTTCTAAGGATGACAAAAATACTATGAAGTCGTCCATATATACGAGACAAACCTTTCCCTGTACATCAAGCAAAACATTATCCATGACGCGCTGGAATGTCGCAGGGGCATTTTTCAATCCAAAAGGCATTCTAGTAAACTCAAAATTGCCATTCTCAACACTAAAAGCTATTTTTTCAATTGATTCCGTATCCATTTCGATTTGATGAAAAGCAGATGAAAGATCGATAGTTAAAAAATAATTACATAGTCCCAATTTATCATATCATTTTTACTGGGCAATGGATAGCGGTCGTCTATCGTTTTCTCATTTACCTTGCGAAAGTCACAAACAATCCTCCATTTATGCTTGCCATTGGCATCAGGTTTCTTCGAGACTATCCAAATGGTACTGCTCCAAGGGCTGTGGCTGTGTCTAATGATTCCGTCGTCTATATAATTTAGTGTATACAACCAATTCGTCTGTTGTTCTTACATAATGTTTGATTTTATTGGTGAATGTTAACTTTTTGCTTTCATGAGGGAAAATATCTTGATATGCTTTACAAATCTGCTATATTTTTCGTTTGAATTTAAATGTTCACAACGAATTATTTTGGTAATGTCGCATTTACTGAATTGTTCTTTAAATTTTCTTTATGAAAGTCCGGAAAAGATAAAACATTTAGCGGTTGTGAGAAATTTGACGTTATATTTTTCTCAGTGTAATAAAAACTTCTGTTTGCGCAAAACCGTTTTTTGCAGTAGTAAGTGTTTCTGGAAAATAGAGACCTTCAATGACTTGCTCGGGAATAATAACATCATTGTTTTGTGTTACTGGAATTCTTACGTAAACAATTTCGTGTGCGTTGACAGTAATACAATATATTTCGTTTTGTGGTTGTCTAAATAATGTTGGCATATTAGTTTTATTATTCCTTAATTGTTTATTGACAAGATCGATAGAAAAATTAAACCGTTTTAGGTCGTTTAATCCTATTATACCGTCAAAAAATGTATGAAAGTCAAAAAGAATAAAAGATAGGTTGGTATTAGCCTTTAATTCTGGTAAAGCCGAAATATCTACTCTAAATCTCTGCTTTAATAATAGTTGGGAAATGATACATTTTTTGATAATAACATTTTTCTGCAATGGAAGGTCGAATAATCGAGTGAAAGCAGCATTAATTAAAAGTTTAATTGCGGGTTCTTTAATCTGGATATACGGTAAACTATTATTAATTTTGTTATACATTTCTAATGTCATCTCGTTGAGCCGCATTGGCTGGTTATTGTAAAATTTTGAGAGATTTGGTTTTCGATTTCAGGGTGTTCGTCAAAATTTTGAGTGTCATTAAAGTATTCAATTTGATTTGAAAATTCAATTTCAGAGTATTCCTCTTGGTTAATATTTTCATTTTGAAATACCGCAGAAGTTGCGAAATAAAATTTCTAGGACCAGTAGGTTTGAAATGGTTAATTTGGTTATTTTGACGTGGTATGGTATAGTTTCTTCTTGTTGACATAGGTTCAGGTTTACTGTTAGGTACCTGACCTGTCGCTTTAAATACGTTTCCAGGTGGGCCAAAAACTTGCCTATTTGTAGGAAAATTTCTTGGAACTTCGCGTGGTTGAGGCATATTAATTGTACCTCTGGGAAAATTATTAGTTTGAGGAATAAACTGATTTTGATCATGCCTAATTATAAAATTTTGGTTATGGTGATGGTTGTTTTGAAAACAATTTGTGGGGCGAATCGGTTGTACATAATTAAAATTTTGGTTACTAAAATACTTTGGATTTTGTGAAAATTGTTTAACGGGTTTGATAGAAGAATTAGGCAAAATTTTTGATTGAATTGGAGTTCTAAAGATATTTTGTGTATATTGAAAATTTAGCTAATTCTATACAGCTTGAATTTTTAAGTCTTATAATACTTTGTATTTGTCCTGGCAATCCTCTAATAAACGTCCTTAAACAAATTTCTTCGTAATGTCATAAATGAATTACTTTGCTTGCATAGTATAGGCAGGAAATGCGTAATTTTTTGAGCAAGGATACTTCTTAAAATTCGTAACCTTTTCCCAAAATCTACAGAATGTTCATTTTTAAAGGGGGTGGCCATAAACAAATCCTGTTCTAAACATTCTAAGTTTCGTCTATCGCCAAAACAATTTAACAAAGCTACTTTAATGTGGTCCTATGTTACTAACTCCATTCTACAGCCTACTACAAATATTGTTTTAAAATTTCGTCGTTTCCTTGGCTATATGTATCAAAAAGGAAATCTCCAGCTGATAGAAAACTATTTAAAGTGTTGAGATCACCATTATATGGCAGAATACTATCTATAAACATTTTTAACAAAGTCTAATTTACACTTGAATTTGAAGAATGATTAGAATTCATTTTTAAATTGATTTGACTATTCTCTAGTTTCTTTTCCACTAAATTTAACGAAGTAAAGAACGCACTTAAATTGTCGACGTCTTTATCCCCATTCATAAATTTTATTGATTTTGAAATTTCTTGAAATTGAACTTAAAAACTAAGAATCCTAAAATTATTTCCACCGTCCTAACCAGGGAAGATGAAAGGAGAACAATATGAATTTTGGGCACTAACCTTGATTTCTCTTAGTCGTCAGCCTATTCCTCCTGTTGGAAACTTCCATGCGTAGCGCTACTTGCGAGGGTGATTTCTTGCCTTCTTTGCCCTCAGTCGAACTCAATCATGTTGGGTCTGTCAGACAGTCTATCGCTAGTTCGTTTTGGAGTCTAAGGGTTGAAATTAACGTTTCACGATCAAATCGTCCCGATGACGTGGCTTTGACCGAAAACTACCCCAAATCGTCGCGACTGCGCCAGTTAAGGTTTTCAAACGACGGGTCTCGTTTTTAAAAACACTTTTTATTCTTTTACAAACAGAGCTTCAAGCTTTAGATTAAACCGTTACAAGGAGAATTCTTCACAAAGTATATTGTTCCATATTTATAAAGTTTTTATGCGAACGTCGCGTCGCAGATACTGGGAATACTGAAGCTAGCATTTCCTGTTAGTCATCAGCATATTCTGTCAAATAATTAACATGTTCAGTAAACTTTTTAAGTCACTCGTTCGTTAAACACTCGTTCCGCTACGCTCCGCTCGTGTCAAATAACATCATGAATCAAGTGCCGTTTACCGCACTTGTTGCATAATATACTTTTTCTACTAATACCTAGTTATACACCGATCTAGCATGCGAAAAGTGTTATTTTGCGGGTTATTTCCGTACGGGTTTGTGAGCAATCGGATGTTTTCTGAGATTTTACCGCAGAGCTTGAATTTTGTCAATGTCATTTGTGTCGGTCATGTCAGTGAAAGTATTCGTGTTTTTTTTTGAAAAAATATACCCAAAACTTAACGGTCGCAGAAAAAGTATAGTATGCAACACGTTTGATAAATTTTTTTCTCACTCGTGACTCAAATGTCGTTTACCACACTTGTTGCATAATATACTATTAACAACTGCCCAGCCTTAATTAAAATTCAGCATTGTTATTTAAAGAATCTTTTTTCCGGAAAAACGAAATGCATCGACGAGGGAAGCGTAGTTTTAGGACTGAAACTTTATGCCAACATCGACCGCAAAATTTTCCAACCGGAGTAGAAGAGAGAGAACTTTCTAAACTATTTCCTCCTGGATTTATAACCGGCTATTTATTAACGATCATACGAGCGGTCTATGAAATACGGTGCGAACCACCGATGGCTTTTTCCAGAAATTTTCCGCTTTCCAATTGAGAAAGACGGAGTCAAGCTGGCAACGCCAACGTGGCAATTAAAATTGTATAATTTACCCGAAACTGCATATATAAGGCGAATCATAAACAATGGGCAAATAATTTCTATACTGAAGATACTCAGCATTAAAATACAGTGAAAGGAAAAAGATTGCATAATTTTAAAAACTTAAAAAAAAATTAATTATAGATATTTTTTAGCAAACCATTATTTATGATACGTCTCTTTTATGTGTGAAAATTCACTTTTAATTCTAAATATGCAGCTTTTTTGTTTAGGACAAGGAGATAATTATTATTTTTAAAATTGCGTTGTAAAATTTTTTATGTGCAGTAAGTTTGCTTGTTTTTACATTAACATAAATAAGTTAACACCAGAAGAAGCATCCCAAATCGTCGATTTAATTGGAGATGGGTGTTCACAGCAAAATGTGGCTGAAGATACTAGAAACAACCAGTCTACCGTTTCTAGACTATTAAGAAGATGTAGACAAATTAGAAGTTACAACAGAAGACCAGCTCCAGGACGTCCCAGGTGCGCCAACCTTGTAGATGCCTATTTACGTTTGCTGAATTTGAATATACGTTATGTTACGGCCGGGTAGCCGCAAACTGCTCGCCGCAGAGTCAATAAGGTTCAGATATCTGTAAATTCAGCTAAAAATAAATTCAGGGAATTCAAAATAAAAGCCCGAATGCCTGTTACTGCTAGCTTATTAACCAAGGCACATAGTTTCGCACGTTTATAGTTAGCAAGAGAACATTTTCATTGGGATATTAACGACTGATGAGTCAAAAGAATTCACTTTTCGGATCTGACGTACACCAGTTTACAAAAGTGCAGTGGAGCAATTAGGTATAATTTGAGGAGACAAGGCTACACAGAGTAGGTAGTCTTTCGCAGGGGATCTTTAATAGCTGATAGGTATGCAAGAGAGGTTCTGGAGGAAAATGTAGTGCTGTTTGTTCTAATTATGGTCAATAAATCCTTCCTTACTTAAGATAATGCTCACTCACACCTTGTTAGAATCACGTAGGAATAGCTACAAAATATTGACATTCAAATTTAAGCTTGGCCAGCTGTTAGTCCAGATCTAAATTCATTCAAACATCTTTGGGACTATCTAGAAACGCATAACGCGCTAGTAATATTACATCCTTCAAGAGCTTATAAATGCTTTAAAAAAAGAATGGGAAAATTTAAGTTTAGAGTACATAAGAGATAATGAAATTTCCACGGGGAATGAGAGATGTCATTAGAGTCAGAGGTGGCAATACCAGATACTGAATTGCTAACATTATATTTAGAATTTGTTTTTTTTTTTTCAATAAATGTTATTTTAAATATTTAACCATTATTTAATATTCCTAAGTTCTCTTCCCATTTTAAATAGATTTAAATACTAACAAGAGAAATGGTTAGGAATATTTCATTTATGCGATACTTTTCGTGACGAAATTTTTCCAATTTTTAATTTTACTCTGAATTTTCTCATTTTCTTTATCTGTCGAGTTATCGCAGAAACTCGATGAAAATCGAAAAGAATGTTTTTTATTCTAGAAAAAGTACTTCTGCTTAGACAGCTTGTTGTTTTTGGACTTATTTCTATTTGGAAAGTTGAAGGTATTTTTCTGATTTTTTAAATAAATATTATTTATAAAACCCCTTACGCTTGTTCCTAGATCTCTCAAAAGCGTATGACACTGTGAGCAATGACATACTTACCTCTCTCATATTCCATACATATGCATGTATGTTTGGAAAAAGAGGACTTGCTCGAAGGTGAATAGAATCGCACCTTTCAAGAAGAAAACAGCAAGTTGTAATGGGCAGAGGTAGAAACCGGTAATCAGAAATCAAAAATATTGAAGCAGGAATATCTGGTTCACCAAGAATAAGCTAATTATTAATAAGACCAAGACTGCTGCAACATACAACAACATGCAACATGTCTAATACAAGATGTGGTGTTCTTGTGTTTGGAAATTGTAAAGATATAGAAAAGAGAGCCTTACGAATTATACTGCAGTTAAACTTCGAGAGTAACGTGAAAAAAAAAAAACAATCCTATACTGTTCTTTCTTAAAAACAAAAACCTGTTTGAATATGACGAGTCTCAGGAAGTGTACACGAACCATGAACGATATATATGCGGAACACATTTACTATGACCGAGAAGGGTGCTTCTGATATATAGGCCTACAACTAAACGAGACCGCATAAGTCACTCGTAAATTGCCATAGTTGTGAGTGCGGTGACAGGGGTTGTGGTAACCATGTAAGGTGGAAGAAAATAATTACCAAAAAGACCAATTATTGGCCTGTGAGATTAAAATTGTCATAGTCTTATTAAAAATAGTAAATTTGAAATATTAAATAAACTAACTGTTGTCAATTAATATATACATATATATATATATATATATATATATATATATATATATATATATATATATATATATATATATATATATATATATATATATATATATATATATATATATATATATATATATATATATATATATATATATATATATATATATATATATATATATATATATATATACGAGAACGCAAAAATTAGTGTTAATGGCACTCGAACGGCCAAATATTGAGACACTATCTTTTTCCTCTGAAAGTAGCTTTGATATCTCGGAAAAGATCCCAGAAGAGTTTCGTAAGGAAGTAAGAGAAATTAAAGTGGACTCCTCTTCAGGTATGAATGGTATGCCTTAAAATTAAGTTGTTTATTTTTTACTATTATTTAGTTTATTTAGTTTAATATAGTTTGTTCTTTGTTCTCACACTAATCTCCTACTACAAAGTAAATTTTAGTGCGCTGCGGAGTAGGATACAAAATTCTAAGCTATATTATTAGGAAACTGTAATTCTATTGCATTTAAGCGGCAGCAGGCGGCTCTAGCCTGCTGAGATTTGTTGGACAAGGATATTATTAAAATTCAATACTTTTTTAATTTTTCAAAGAAACTTCCACGGGCTACTGTAATACTTTTTATTAAACTTCTGGATTCCTCCTGCGTCGGTTTTTGTTGAGTTGAACTAGCTAAGTAGTTTCAGTTAAGCTCTGAAGAAGTCAACAAGATGATTGGCCAAACGTTAGCTAGTTCGACTCAACAAAAACCGACGCAAGAGGAATCCAGAAGTTTAATAAAATGTAAAATTCAATACTTTTTGTCAGTCAGTACAAAATTTAGTCTATTAAATACAACTATCGTTAAAAGTAATAACTAAATAATATCCAGTTTTTTTAAAAATAAACAGGGTATTCATTTCATGACTAAACGTTCCTAAATGTGTATCCGGAAATAACTACTTTAAGAAATGATTCTACATGAATAAATAAAAAAATTCACATGAACATATTCCGAAAATGAATTTTCAAGACACAGGATGGCAAACTTAGAAAAAAGGATGTTTAATAAATATCTTGTGTTAAAATTTGGGAGCGTTGTTTGTTGTCACAAGAGTCTTAGTTGAAATTAATGAAACTTCGTGTTCGTTTTTATTGCATGTCCCTAATTGGAACAAATCTAATCACAGCACAGGAGCATATGGTGTTTACAAAGTAACCAAAAGTTGTGTTAAATAATATTTATTAAAAACGGAAAAAAAATGACACCTATATATACCCATGTTCATATTAAAAAGAAATCTTATTTTTTAATGCAGAATAACCATTTACATTATTCGAAAGCTATTTGAATTAATTTTATTTTCTTTTTGAAATAAATGGGACATTAAAACTAATAACTTCACTTTAATTAGCTAGTTTAGCATTGATTAGACTGAAACCCACTAAGCAATATATAAATCGCATTTTGTTGAAAATCGTTAAGTGATATTTAATTAATTTTCACAGAGACTTCCACAGGCTACTGTAATGCTTTTTACAAAACTTCTGGATTCCTCCTGCGTCGGTTTTTGCTTAGTCAAAATTGCTGACGTGTCGTCAACCATCCTGTTGGCTT